CTAAATACCTCACGTTCATTCTACAATATATATTCAGTTACCATTAATATTATTTTCCCCCAGAAAATATGCTTATATTCATTATTATTAGGCTTCATACAATTATTAACCATTCTTTAATTGTAATGGAAATATCTCAGTCTCAGCTGCTAGTGAATTGTATAATGAGAAAATGTTCAGGTTTTTTGGTATTTGGTGCCAGATGGTGCATTTACGTACTCCGATACTTGTTATCTCCATGGTATTTCATTATGACTTCCCTCTTCTACCTTATTTACCTTTCCCCAGGTAGAATGGAGCTGCAGTTCAGTAACAGCTTTGTTTCCATTTGGGGAAATTAAATTGGCAAAGATGTTATTTCCTTTTTCCTATTCTTTAGCCCTGATAGAGTTCTTCAAGTTTTACTTATCTATTTCTCTTTAAGGTTTGTAAGGCCCTTCCCAAGAAACTACATCTACATGGAAGGAAATATTCAGTAGGTTGTCCCAAGGCTCAGAATTTTTTTGCTACCGGTTCGGGTTCTCCTGCACATACTCTCCTGTGTGATGCTTCTGTGCATGTGCACAAGCGTCCGGGCGGGCGGGCAGGTGGAGCCTCCCACTGCCGCTACTACAGGTTCAGCCGATCCAGACCGAACTGGCAGCATCCCACCTCTGCCAAGGCTCTGCTTAGACCCAGTACTCTTCCAATGATTTGGACCAGGGGATAGAAGGTGAACACAACCCGTTTGCAGATCACACCAAGGTGGCAAGAATAGCCCACGCTCCAGAAGATAGGCTCCATATACAAAAGGACATGAACAGTGGACCCTATCTAATAAAATGAAATTCAATGGTACATTTCTCCATTCAGGTATGAAAAACCAAAAATAGAATAGGGTGGTACTTAGCTCAGTAGTAGTAATTACAAAAGGATCTTGGAGTCTTGATGGACAATCATTTAAATATGAGTCATCCATGTCCTACAGCTGCTAAAAATGCCAACACAGAGTCTGCATTAATAGAGGGATAAAATCAAGATCACGTGAAGGGTTAATAACCATTTCATAATGCCTTCGTAAGATCACACTTGGAATATTGCATCCAGTTTTGGTTGCCACTATGTTAAAAAAAAATGTTGAGATTCTAAAAATAAAGTCCAGAGAAGAGCAACAAAGATGATTAGAGAGCTGGAGGCTAAGACATATGAAGCACAGTTGCAGGAATTGGACATGCCTAGTTTAATTAAAAGAAGGACTAGGGGTGATATGACAGCAGTGTTCCAGGGTTGCCACAAAGAAGAAGAGATCAACCTGTTTTCTAGAGCACCTGAAAGCAGGACAAGAAGCAATGGATGGAAATAAATCAAGGAGAGAAGCAACTTAGAACTAAGGAGAAATTTCCTGATAAAACAATTAATTAATTAGAACAATTAATCAGTGGAACAACTTCCCTCCAGAAGTCGTGGATGTTCCATCACTGGAGGTTTTTAAGAAGAGATTGGACAACCATTTGTCTGAAATGGTGTAGGGCAGGGGTGTCAAATTGGTGGCCCAATAAATCACACACAGGCCACGCTCACCCCAGCTCCACGAATGGGGAAAATATCATGAAACGTCACATGACGGCATCGTGACGTGGCGAATTTGACATCTGTGGTAAAGGGTTCCCTGCCTGAGCATGGGGTTGGACTAGAAGATCTCCAAGGTCAATTCCAACTTTGTTATTTTGTTAAAATAGGGTGACTCTGGGTGGCACACAGCATAAAAAGCAAACATTTAACACTCCAAACCCCTCAAACCACGAGTATTTAAACAAAGAATCCTAGATTAAGAAGCTCAGAATGATAGAGCCCAAATCTCCCCTTACATTGCTTTGAGGATCTTTTCTGCAACCCTTTAGAGTCCCCACAATACCTCCACGAGATCACCTCTTTTGCATGCCCAAGACTGTCCACACTAGAAGGGACCAATTCTTTGCCATCAGTGCTGGCAGAGGGAACATTCATCATTAAACATCATTAAACCTCCATTCAGACAGCTGGCATTTCTTTCAAATCTGCTGTTTGTCTGTGATCATTATCAACCTGTCTCTTGTCAGCTGTCACCAGAAGTGGGTGGAGAGTCCTCCACATCCGGTTTTCATTCTTTCCACTGGAAGTTTGGCAAAATAATTCCGGGTGCTGCTTTCTTTTTATTTACTTTAAAAAAAAAATATTTAGTTTGTCACTCATGCACAAGATAACAGGAATAAGTATAAATATGAATTAGAACACAGGAAATGGGTACAAATAAATGGGAACAATAGGAGAGGGATGTTCTTGTTGGGAGATGGTTTGAGGACTTACCCCCTATTTTTCAGAGTATGACACATTTCCCCCCCTAAAAGAGGATGAAAATTTAGGTGCATCTTATACACCAAATGTAGCCCCGCCCACCTGCCGGACCCCACCCTTTGGTCTCTGCCTCCCAGCAATTTACCTCCTTGCAGCAAATGGGGAAAATGGGGCTTGCGGAGGCAGCAATAGGCTATGGCAGCCTGGAACAGCTGATCATCGGGATTGAAAGTGAAAAGGGCTGTTTGCTGTTTTCTGCAAAGAGGCAAATTGCTGGGAGGCAGAGGCAGATTTTTTTTTTCTAGTGCTAATCAGGCTAAACTGAAACAGGCTCTTGGCTGCAAGGTGGTAAGTCAATAACTATAAACACCTATAGAATGTTCAAATTATTAGACTTATTTTTTAAAGAATGCTTTA